ATTTTTCATTTGGATGAAATAATAGCTGCATGAATCATGACAGCAGACAAGATAGAGGAGAGTAGGAGGCGGGGTTACCAATCTACTTGCTCTGGAAAGCAGAGTTCCCTGCTTTTATATCTTGTTGTTAAAGTCTCCATTATACATTTGGAGCTAGATGCTTTTTTTTCTTTTTTTTTTATAAAAGCGCTAGAGGGGTCTGAAAAGTCACTGAACACACCTGTGCCTTAGACACACTTAATATTATAAGCATTCTGATGGTGTTTCAAATAAGGGATTTTTATCAAAAACATATTAATGTGCAATAATAGGCAACTGCTTTGTTTTGCCTAATGGTACGGTAAATCTGCCCCTTATTGTAAATACTGTTGATTGTATATACCGAGATCCTTATCTTATTTTATTATTCTCCTTATTTTATTCCCATATCTTATTTCACACTATTTTCTGGTGAAAATTCTCAGTGGTTTGTGTTTTAACTTTTCTGAATCAGTTATATGGGAAGAGACTAATTTTACTGTGTGGGTTATAATCTTACCAATTTTATTCTGTCTTATTATATTTTATTTTGCTCTGTTGTACTTACTTGCTATTGTGCTGCAAGAAAATAATTTCCAGCAAGGGATTAATTAAGTAATTCCGATCTCTGTTTTACCAGTCAACCAATGTTGCTTCTGTTAACTACACATATGTGATTATTTGTCCCCTATGTTTAGGCTGTTTATACTCTTTTATTACAGCGTAAATAACAGTCAAAAGTTATTAAAAAGCTTGTAAAAATGTTGTTTATGCTTTTGCATATTTTAATCAAATATTTATTCGGAAATGGCAATGATTAACTGTAACTACAGTATTTTGCCACATGGTGGAGTTAGACTTCCTCTGGGTCAAACAGAGCTCAGTGACTAGAGACTATTCCAAATGCAAAGCTTAAATAAAGTGTATTACTTAAAAAAATAAGAAGAATCTTTTTGTTTTGTTTTTAAATATAGTAAAATACTACCTACAGTTGTGCAATATTTTGGAGACTATCGTTTCAACAATGATATGTCAGTGTGTTGTTTATAGAAACTGATTTAGCTCTGCATCATAACATATCAGCATATTTAGTGCATGTAAATATTTGGATCTGCTGTTTATGGAGGGGGGCAGCATTTAAACTGTTCTTTAAATCAGCAGTTACTTATAGCAATGCAATTAGTTTCTTATATCCCTATTCTGCAACAATCCTAAGTGAAGTGGACTCCTCTGACTGGTGAAAGGCGAGTCACTTTAGAGTATTTCTGATTTCATACTCTGATTATTCAGAAGGACAGAGGAACTGTTCTTACCTCGTCTAACAGGAACTGATCCCTTTCATGATATGCTGCCTTTATTGCTTAATATTCACTGTGTCCGGAGTGGGGAAACATTTCAGATCTATTTAGTAATATGTAAAAGAAAATTCTGAACACTATGCATTGCTATTTGTAAGTTATAATTTACCTCTTTTTTTAGTTTTTTATAAGAAAGCACACATATCTTCAACTGTATAGTTCTTGTGAGAACATTGAATTACAGACTGAAAAAAATGTGTGAAATATTAAGTGTGTTTTGAACTGTTTTATAGAATTATTATAAACATATTTTTGTGAATTTTATAGAATAAATCTAATTCTAAGGGAAATTTTGAGGTTATAACCCTTTAAATTGGAGTGTACGGGGGTATTTGAAAGCAGCATTTGTCATTTGTGGAAGGCGGGACTTAATGCGACTGTAAAATAAGTATCCAATCAGAGGCTAGATATTTCCATAGCAACTCCAATCAGCGATGAGGGACTGTCTCATTGGGAAGGTAGTGGTCGTGGTTAGTTGCTGCTAGAAGACGCAAGTGCTTCCTCCAGAGCTTCCCCGCGGCCGGGGCTTGCAGAAAAAAAGAAAAGATAAAATATATAGACTTATTTATCCGTCAAGCTCACCGTGGGCGACTCTTTTCTGCTTTTGCATGATAATTCCACAAACCAGTCTGAAAGACGAGCCTAATCTCCTCTGAACATAATAGGGACACGAAATTACAATGCCATCCCCAATGGAGGGATCTTCCAGAGAAGGTGACCTGTTTACTGTGAAACATGAGCTGAAACATGGTAAGTAAACTGTCAGCCTGCTGAAACTTAGCGCAGTATAATGTAATTTGGAGTCATATACGTATATATTTAATGTATACAGACGTCACAGGAGAAATGATTCCAGGTTAGCTTGCAGGAGTCAACTGTCACTGTCAGTTGGGCGTTTGAAGTGAGCGCTAACACGAGCGTCGACGTTACTTGGAAATAGCAGAAAGACTAAAGATGTCCCGTTAACGCTGCTGAAACTCATGCAAACTACGGTTATCTATGCGGGTTAAAAACTGCAGCTAACTGCTAACCACGGTGTTCCTATTAGCTTAAACTGATACTAGAGACAGCCTGTTATAAGGTTGTATCAGAGCAAGCATCAATACTGTGCTAAGTTTAACACCTTCAATATAACTTGTTATGTATTAGCAACTAGCATTAGCAACTAAAGTACAAAGACACAAATAATGGGTTATTTTTTATTCAATTAAATGATTAAGACAGTATAACTACACCTATAAGCTCCACTGTAAAAAAAAAAAAAGATATTTATCTGAAACATAATATACCTTAAGGTTAAATTATATAAGAAACATGTTTTCATTAATCTTGTGCATTGTTATCTTCTCACAGAAATAGGTCTAACAAGTAACAACACATAAAATAAATAAAAGTTGTTACTGTCATGGTTGCCTCAAACACTTCCATTTTCAGTGTAAATTATGTTGGATT